ATCCGTTTCACCCCGAGGGCCCCAGTTTGTGCTTAGTAGTGTTACAGTAGTGTTTTCTGGAACTCGAATAGCAGGGACTTTGAACCTTCGACCTTCTTTCTGTGTCAGCACACCGTCAACGCCACATGATCTGAGCTATAAATATCTCTTCGGATGGTCTCTTTCGTAAACATGTCAGTGTCTATCACATCGGGGTGAACGATATTTAAAAGAGGTTTATATGTTGTACAAAATGTGAAGACAATATTTAATATTCAAACTAACATAAAGATGAGTGCACGACTTCAAATTTTGGTGGTGTTTTATGTGTGATCCAAAATATCAAATATTCACAACCATATTCCCACAGACAATATGTCAACAAACATAAGAAATATAGTCAGATTTTTCATGTCTGCTTCAACTTAAAGTTCAATTTCCATGTAAAACTTTGGAGAAAACTTGAAGTTTTACAGATGACATGACATTAAAACTCAATTTAAATGTCAAGCTGTGGCAAAACTTCAAGTATGTAAGGATCCAACTTTAAATTGAAGCGGATATGGAAAATCTGATTATATTTCTTATATTTGTTGACATATTGTCTGTGTGAATATGGTTGTGAATATTTGATATTTTGGATGACACACAAAACACCACCAAAATTTGAAGTCGTGCACCCATCTTCATGTTAGTTTAAATATCAAATAGTGTTTTCACATTTTGTACAACATATAAGCCTCTTTTAAATATTGTTCACCCCGATGTGTATATGCTCGATAGTTACTCAGCTAGGGCCAAGCAGTATTTGTCCATGTTGCGCGCATAAATCACTTTGATCTAGAATATATAGTTGTCTGGACGTCCGCTCCCAGAAGCTACAATCGGACACATGACCTGACGTCTTTGCTTTCCTGAGAAACCACGGATAACTTCTCCTCCCCAGTCCGACACGGCTCGCTCCCATCAAGTCGACAAGAGCCATGAGAGAAGGAACTCCTATGCCCTTCCTCCGATTCTGTATTGCATGGCAATTTTAGGGGCGGGATGGTATTGAAAGTGTAAAGTCTTTTCTGCCCCCGAGTCTTCATTCTGAGGATTTGGAGAATCTTCAATGTAACATAAACGTGAGTAAGGGGGATAGGAATATGATGGTTTACTTGGGAGGCTCTAGCCATTTACCTCACATTCGGCCCTGATATTGATCTCTACTTTACCAACGTCCAAGTAGGTGACCTCCTCCCTGACGGGCGCTCATTCCCTATTTCGTGCGCTGAAGTATTATCACTGCTTGTAAATTGTGATATATGGACTTGCAGGGGCTGCATAGGATACTGCTGCACATTGCCCGATTGTCGCGTCTCGACATTTGTCCCTACGTTCGGGAGGTAATTGTGCTGTCTATTGACGGCGATGCGAATGAGCACCATGTAGAAGGCAATCGATATGATCGGCACGGCCTAGTTGATCGACGCTCAGTATGTTTCGATAACAAGCCTTAATTCAAAAGGGATTACCAGGTCCACCATAATAACATCACCGTTGTTCGAGCAGACGTAACAGACCAGTGCAGTGAAAAGTGCCACCGAATATAAAACGGCAGCATCCATGAGCACGTGCATTATTGGCATCATAGTGCTCTTTGGACCAGCGCGATGTCTGGTGATATTACGTTCAATCGTCCATATTCGATAGGCCATTAATCCTGGACACATTCAGAGCCTCTGCATCACGCTCGCAGAAACGAGCTTACCTGAACTCGATGCATTAGCTGCAATAGTCGAGATAAGAAAACCCATGATCCACATTGCAAGATCTTGGGCGAATACGCTAGTACTGGAGCTGGATTGCGAAACACTGTAGACCGCAGTGACGCCAGTGACTGTGAAGCCACATCAGATCACACATCTCCCTTAAGCTGAACATCATTGCGGCCTTACCTGCGACGCTACACCACAGCATGCTTGGTAGGATGATCACCCAAACGGATTGCCAAACAACATAGCAGCGATAAATCTTTTACCAGGCAAGACACTTATATCAGCTCACAAGGTCCTAGACTTGTAGATTAGAGTATGAACTCACCACAACCCCATCAGCAAGTAGAGTTTGCAGGACGTATAATGCATGCTTGATCACATACGTTTCCTCTGAAACGTCCGCAAAGAATGCCCTTGGCCCGCCTGGGTACGTGTCACGATACTTTACCAGTCCATTCTCCACACGAATGATGTTCACGACAATGTGCTTGGTGGATGTCAGCAGGTTCCATGTCAGGCGTAAAAGCAAGGACTCACTACGGTACTCAATAACAATAGCAGGATAGCCACTATGAAGATTGGGCGATTGATGTCTCGCACATGCTGTTTGTAGGTCAAAGACCACATGGTGCCCATAAACATGAGCACTGAAAAGCCTGGAAAGGTGAGTTGACTTTAGCTTGATGGACATAGAGCGAATAAGCCCGATGCCCGATGCTCGCCGTATAAAATGCCTTCTAGCACTGTTGACATTAAAGCGCCGGTATCAAACGGGATATCATTCGAGGTCATGGCGACAACTGGGAGATGTGCAGCGACGTGCAGATCTTCATCAGTTTCGTATGCATATTATATAGAAATGAATTGTGTTATCATATGAGATCACTGATCCATCAGGCGGAGTTCAATGCATAGACCCGGTGAACTTGCTGTGTCTTCTATGGCCTTCACAGATAGGCTGATCTCGGAATCTAGTAACGAATTAGTAGCGAAAGAGTAACTTCCTTTTACTTACTATCTGAGGCTACACAATGTCGGCTGCGGCCGTAATAGGGCGCACCTCTCCTGGCCTAGTGTCCTTCTGCACAAAGTTCAGGGTGATATTTCGGGTCTGCGCGCATCAGGTTTCAGAAGCAAGTCTGAAACAGTGGGGCTGTCTACACTATGATGATCATTTATGCTACACGACTGTCGCGATAAAGCACAGTAGAAGCCTCTGGAACGATAGCAATAATAAGCAGGATGTTAGGCTTCAAATTCCACATGCAAGATCAGATACACGCTATTATCACAGCCAAGCCATTCCATTTACCTCTATGGCTGCCACAGCCACAACCCAAAACAAAACGCACCATCACCAGTCTCGCACCTGTTGGTACCGTGCGCGTCCTCGCATCTATGTCAAAACTACGCTGCACTTGCGTGCAGCCGTGATGTTTCGAGGGGGACTGGATGCCCCCGGCTCCAAGTCCTGCTGGACCCTTGAGCTGGCTTGGACACGAAGATACTTTGGCATCGAATACGTACGTCTTCACATATACTCCTCTTCCGGCGCGTCATATGAGCAAGAATGCTCGTCGACTGAAAGGCTTCAATGACTTTGATCTATTCTTGACCAATAAAGGTACCAGTGGAGCTGAGGGCAACTGAATAACCCCAATCGACCCTCTCCCAAAGTCAGTCATCGATGGTCGCATCGCTCAGTGCCATGCTCGTAAAGTCGCCGATTATGTGCCGATTTGCAAATATGACGCAGAGTCGAAGATCGGGCTTTTAGGCCTTATCACAGAGTGGGTAAGTGCAGTTATAAGGGGCTGGCAATGTCTTAGTCATACTAAGATTCTAAGATGACCGGAAAGATCCCAAGTCATCAGCTATGCATGCGATTTCAGGGAGTATAAGTGTGCACGAATTCTCTCAACTCACACGAAAGCGCAAATGCACACAAGGAAGGCGTATCAGGTACGGAGTTCGAGGGAAATTGTTCAGGGATCATGGCGCTGAAGTTGGAACTGGTGCAAGAAGTTGTTCGATGCTTCAAGACCCAGGCCTGGGGACGAAGAAAAGTATCAACGGGCACACAAACATGGACAGCACTTGCCTACGGGGCGATCGTACTGTATGACGAAAACCAACATGCCATAGTTAAACGCGACGAAAAGTAAAGCGCATCTTCCAAACATCGTAGGTCCTCGAGGATGAGTGGCTTAAAACTCTGCAACGTCCCTTACCACTGATTACAGAGTTCTTGCTATCGATTAACTGGATATTGAGAGTCTGCCTGCTCGCCGTCTTGCGCTCGGACCTGGGTGTTTATTGAACGAAATGACCCCTCTAACCTACATCTCACACCCTCTTGCTCAAATGGTCGATCAGTAATTCAGGACCATCCTGCACGAGTCCACTAGTACCGTTCAAGTTCTCGGTCGATGGCAAATTACAGTGAGCAACCGGATAACCATCCAGGTCAATATGAGACGTGAAAGTGGCTGGCGCTGATATTCGATGTGGTGAATATCGCCCACTCAAGTGTTCAAACTAGCTGAGTCGTTGCATAGAAAGGTGTAGCACCTTTGAGAACTCGACGTTAAGTTCAGCTTGGATTTGACATTACCAAACCCTGCTTGTGTCATGCCAAGACAGAAGAAACGGATAGTAGAAGGCAGGAATACTGCAAAGTGATGTAATTATGCGTGAAGAGGACGCGGACCGTTATCATAGAGCTACTAAAAGGACAGTGTCACGGTGAGGTCCGAGATAGCGAGATATCATACATACCAGTCAACCGTGTATATCATGCATTCGCATGAATAGATACAAGGGATGCATCATGCACCAATATTAATGACAGGAGTAGGGCCTTTGATTCATGGCTGAGGGAGTCGCCGTCGTCGTCGCATGTTAGTAGTAATTGAAATATTGATGTTGGATGGTGGTTGACAACGTTGATGATGTAAGGATTTATGTAAAGCATGCGCAAGTCCAGATAAACGGTCAGCACCAGGCTCCTTCCCAGCCCCACGGTTCGAGTGTGGAGGGGCGATATCTGATGGCATTAATATTGTCGGTACTGTTTCATAAGTCACATGATACAAGAAAAATTCAAACCCAGCACAACCTTATTCCCCCTCACACTCTCACCGGGGGCTGGAAGATAACATTTGTAAACAAAGGTCAGCCACAGTGACGGTGACCGAAACTTCGAAAATATGAGTTTGCACCTAGCGTAGGGTTACAAAATTTCGAATATGATACAGTTGCTGGTAAGATGTAACGAAGGCGGCCCAATTCTCGGTATTCTGGACGGAACTCGCCCCATTCCGTGATACAGTGGGCTTCATCAATGATGATACCTACAAGGTAAGAAGCGAACAATGGGTCCTTCAGAAGCTTTTCAAAATCGCCATTTGGTTTCATGATTTGTTCAGGACTGACTGCAACAGCGCGGTACTTTAAGGCTTTAATTGCCTAATATCATGTGAGTGGTAACATTTCATAGTGTTTCAAAGTAATACGGACCGAGAAGTTTGCAGCGCTAGCAGTTTCTGCATTGATAGCAATGGCCCGGATGCCGGCCTTCGCAAGAGATAATGCATTTTGTTTTCCCAGTAGGTTCAGTGGAGTGACGACGAGCTGGATGCTATTGATGCGAAACAGCAACGGAATCCAGAAGCCAAGGGTCTTACCCATCCCTGCAATGCATAGGACATCCTGGTCGCCTTTGAGGAGAGCATGCTGTCACAACCCCTTAAACGAATTAACGCAGGGCAGAGACTAGGACTCAAACAACAAGATAATCACAAAGAGGATAAGGCAGCAGGTACGTCTTGGATTGCTCACTTGGAGATACAAGAGGTTTGAACTAAAGAACTACTGACTACGACGAGCTACCTATATACACATATTGAAACTGAGATCGAAACTGAGTATGAACTAACTAACCAATCAGAATAATTAAAGGTATCGTATGATTCTATATATAACTATGATGTCATAACATGTGCCGCAGCCGCAGTAAGACTCTGGAACATTCCAAGAGTGTCGCGAGGCATGACGTCAACATCTTCGGCATTGTCCGATTGATCACGTGACTCTGGTAATTCTACAATAGACGCAATAATAGGAACTTCTTCAACAGTAAACATATTCTTAGGAGCAGGCGCTGTGACTGGGCGCTTAAAAGACTTAGAATTAAGGAACGAATAATGGTTTGTATTTGGAACTCGTGACATTACCCCCTCTCTAGGATGAGCGTCATCGCGAATGAAACTTGGATGAATAAACTTCTTGCGCCATTCCAAAAACTCTTGGGTTTCAAACACCGATTTGTTAATTTTGCGGGGATTCAACGCCTTCGGATTTTGCCGGTGAAATTCTTGAACTTTCAACCGTGCATTCTCAAGGTTTTCCTCAGGTTCCCATGTCGCTTCTTCTATCGGATATCCTTCCCACTCTACTAGGTATTGGAGTTTTGATCTGTGCAGTCTCGAGTCTAGGACTTTTCGTACTGTCCATTCGGAATCGCCTTCTGATAAGATCTCTGGCGGCGGACGATGATGTGGAGGTCTTTGGACTAAGGTCGAGGGGAAATGTGGAGTGAGTAATTCTACGTGGAATACTGGATGAATCTGATATTTTGCTGGAAGGTTCAGGCGGTAATTTACATCACCCGTCTTCTCTAGCACTTCAAACGGACCAAGTCGTCGATCGGAGAGTTTCTTATTTGGTCTTTTCTGACGGATATTTTTGGCATTGAGCCAGACCAGATCTCCTTTCTTGAATTGTGGTGCGTCTTTTACTCCTCTATCGTAGAATCTCTTCATCCGCTCATTCGCCATTTGCAGCATACTTTCTGCGTCTTCCTTCGCCTCTTTCATTACATCCACTCGTTCATCAGCTGCAGGTACTTTAGAATTGGAAATTGGTGAAAAAGTAAACTCTGGATCGTATCCGTAGAGTACTTTGAATGGACTATGACCCGTTACAGTGACAGAGTTATTGTGAGCGAATTCTGCTATCGGAAGCCAGTCTACCCAATCATTTTGGCGGTAAGACGTGAACATTCTCAGATATTGCTCTACTTCTTGGTTGATTCTCTCTGTTTGTCCGTCTGTCTGAGGATGATAAGCCGTTGACATGTTCCATTTTATGCCTAGGCGTTTCGACACTTGTCCCATAAACTTGGAAACAAATTGTGTCCCTCTGTCCGATATCACCTGTTTCGGAGTTCCGTGGTGTTTCCATACGTTATCTAAGAAAAGTTTCGCGATTCCTCGAGCGTCAACTTCCTTTTTCGTAGGCATGATGTGCGTTTGTTTCGTGTATCGATCAACGACAACAAAAATAGAGTCGAACCCTTCGCTTTTAGGCAAATCTACTATCAAATCACAAGTGATTGATTGCCAAGGTCCCGCTGGTATTTCATTTGGTTTAAGCGGACCATGTGGTTGCGTTGGGTGAATCTTCGTTGCTCTGCATCTATCACAGCCATCTACGTAATCGTGGACATACTTCGTCATTGAAGGCCACCAATAATTTCTGGAAATCAATTCTAAGGTTTTGGCACGTCCAGGGTGTCCAGCCGGTGGAGAGTCGTGAAACAACTCCAATATCTCTCGACGGATCTCCTTATCATTTGGAACGTAAACCAGTCCTCGGAATAACACTAATCCATCCTCCACATTCCACTCTTCGACTCCTCTACGCAATTGTACCGGTGCTGCTTTTAGCGTTTGTAGCGCTTTAGCGACTTCGGGCTCTCGTTCTGTGCATTGCCTTATCTTTCTCAGCAATTGTTTTTCTCCTTGTACTAGAACTTGACCTCTTTTAGCAGCTTTTACAGTAAAAAACTCCGGTTTTAACAAAATACGATCAGAATTGTCGTTTTCTACCCCCCCTCTGTGGTCTTCTCTCCGAGAAAGCTTATCGGCCTTATCATTGACTACACCAGGCTTATGTTGGAGCGTAAATTCATACTCCGCCAGGAACAGACTCCATCTGGCTTGCCTTCTTGTCAACTTTTGGCTCGTCATAAAGTACTCGAGATTCTTATGATCTGTCCAGATCTCCACATGATGAGGTTTTCCCTGCACATAGTGCCTCCATTCCTCCAACGCTCGAATGATTGCGAGTAACTCTTTGTCATGGATGTCATAATTTCTTTCTGCATCGTTCATTGACTTAGAGTAATACGCCACGGGGTGCCATAGGTCATCTTCCATCAGTTGAGATAGAACTGCTCCAGTTGCGTAATCAGAAGCATCGGTTTCTATTTTCATTTTCTTCTCAACGTCAGGCATTACTAGGATCGGAGCTGATGTAAACCTTGACTTCAGTTCATCAAAAGCATCTTGCTGTTTCTCTGTCCAATCCCATTTGACATCTTTCCGTAGTAAATCATTCATTGGTCTAGCGATGTCTGAGAACCCGAAGATAAATCTTCTGTAGAAGTTGGCGAAGCCCATAAATGCTTGTATATCTTTAACGCATTTAGGTACAGGCCATTTCATTACTCCTTCTACTTTCACAGGGTCCATTCGAACACCACCCTTCTCCACTATCAACCCGAGGAACTCGACTTCTGTCTGTTCGAAGCTACACTTTTCAGGCTTCAGATACAGATCGTTCTCTTTTAGTCGTTTTAGTACCTCTCGTACAACTTTTCGGTGTTGCTCCCTATTGCCATTTGTGAACACGAGGATATCATCGATATAGACAACTACGGTCTTTCCATCAATTAAATCTCTGAATATCTCGTTCATCATGGTTTGAAACGTGGCAGGGGAGTTTGTTAAACCGAAGTACATCACGGTTGGTTCATGGTGACCAAACGGCGTTTTGAAGGCCGCCTTCCACTCATCTCCTTCTTTCATGCGAATATTATTGTACCCCCATCTTACATCCATCTTGGAGTACATCGTGGCACCGGTTAAAGCATCAATCAAATCTTGAGATCTCGGTAGCGGATATGCATTTTTAACCGTCTTCTCATTGAGCTTTCTATAGTCCATCACCGGTCTTAACTTGCCATCTTTTTTGGCCACAAAGAAGAAAGGTGCTGCTACTGGAGATTGTGAATTTCTTATACGTCCCAGTGCAGTCTCGGTTTTTAACCAATCTTTCAAAGTGTCCATCTCCTTGGGTGATAAGGGATAGGGTTTCGCGTTCGGCGGAAGATCGCCATCATCTTTAAGATCTATCGCATGATCCCATTTCTTTCTTTCAGGGAAGCGCTTAGATTCTTCTTCTGAGAAAACTCCCAGGTACTCATGAAGCCAATTGGGAACCATCTCTTCGACCGATTTCTTCACCTTCGTTGCTTCTTCTGCAACCTTCTGCTCCGTGGCAACCGAGGCTTTATACTTGATCCATTCTCCAGGATACTCTTTGTCTTCTATTTCCTCAACTGTCGCCCTTTTCATCGCCATGTCTTCTTCGTCATCCTCTTCTGTGGGAATCAGGTCTGGCACTTCTTCTATCTTTTTTTGTTCTTTTCTTTTTTCTTTATTTTTTTGTCTTTGTTCTTTTTTAGTAATACATTTAACCGGGCAACGAGAAAGTGCAAAACGTCCAGCGTTCCAATCTATTTCCGGGTTGTGATATCTTAGCCAATCTATGCCAATAATAACATCATCGCTTCCTAAGTCCGTAACCATGAAGGCTGCTTGGTCTTCAACATGGTCACCGATCTTTAGACCTAATTCAGCGTAATGAGTCATCGATCCAGCGGCATTTAATGAGCCATCAATATTTTTAACCGGAATGGGCCTTAATAATTTATGGCACCGGACTTCGTTTTTCTTCACAAACTTCTCGCTAATAAATAATGTCGATGCACCGCAATCTACCAGTGCTTTCACATCTGCTTGTCGGTTCTTTCCCTTCAACGTGATCGGAATGTAAAAATGCTCAGATTTGGATCTAATATATACTTCTGATACATCCGAGAACGTAGATAGGATGGAGAAACGATTGTTCGGGTCTAAGTTTGCAGACTTTGACTTCGACCCTTCTAAAAACCCTTGCCTTCCTTGGAGCTGACCCAAGCTTTGAACCAACTCGGGATAGGGTCTTCTTCTTTTGGCACTGTAGTAGCCTTCACCTGCACCTTTGGTGCGACTGCGTCTTTGCAGTTTCTAGCCATATGGCCTTCGCCTCCACAGCGGTAGCATTTGAAGGATCCAGTCCTTCCTTGAGGTTTTGGAACACCTCGCTGCTTGTTGGCGTCGACGTCCATAGCGTCGCTTTCCCTGCTCGGACCAGGTTTGTATTCAGGGGTCCTGGGGCCTTGTTTAGGGGTCCACCAGGTCGTCTTCTTCTTGTCCGCGTCTAGCTCTTCGAAGTTGCGTCCAATTTGGATCGCATGTTCCACCAGTTTCTTCATGGTGTTTTTGTCCTCGTAACGGACATGAGCGAGCTGTATTTTGACACGGTCTTGAAGTCCCATTCTGAACTTCTGCCTTTGGTCATAGTCGGAAAAGGAAGTGTGTGCGGCCTTTTGTCTGAAAGCGGCCGCGTACTCTGGAACTGAGGAAGATCCTTGTCTAAGGGATTCCAGTTCTCTGATCGCTTTTCCTTCACGATCTTCTTGCCCCCACATGGCTTCTAAGTCTTCCAGGAATTTCTCCACGGTCAACTTCTCATCTCCGGTCCTTCCAAGTTTGGTGATATAAGGTTGTGCCCATTTGGCTGCAGTGCCTTTCATGAAAGAGAGCATTACTCCTATTCTC